GGGGGGGGGTTGGACTAGATGGCCTACAAGGTCCCTTCCAACTCTAATTATCTGTGATCTATGATCTGTTCTCGGCCTGGTGATGGCAGAAGTAGGCAGGTAAAACATGCAAGCTCTCCTTGTGCTTCAGAAGCCACCTTGGAACGGGCCGTTTCAGCGAGAAGAGAGGCACTTAGCGGAGGTGGGGGCGGGGGGGGCGCAGGAATTAAAGCACGAGAGCAATCACACCGTTGAACCCAAAGAGCAAAAACAAAATGAAGAGCAACTGCTCTGAGGTGACTGTAGACTTTCTGTGCAACAAAGACGCCCCTTGGAAGAACCCAGCTTTCTGGAGAAGGCGGCAGCATCAGCAAGGAAATCTAGTAGACCGAGGAGGATTCTGGACGGGCTTTTCTTGCTCACAAGGCTAGTTTTGTATGCTAGCAGGTGGAGAACGGGTGGATTCCGTGGGTCAGTGAGGGATCCTGGACTCTGAGTAAGCAGGAGCATTTGGCGACCCCAGACTTTATGCCGCTTAAAACCAGTTTGCGCAAAGTCAGGTGTGTAATTTTGCCTCCGCTTTCTCAGAGGGAAGGGAAGGGAAGCACCAGGAATTCAGATTCCTAATCCTAGAAACATTATCCAACCTTCCCAAGTTCCGGAATCAGATACGTTTTTTTCCCCCCTACAAACTCCTCTTCAACCGTAGTAAAAGCTAACCATCTTTGAGGGGTTCCCCCCACCCGCACCCCTTTAAAAATAAAGGAAGAGAAGAAAGGAAGACATCTGAGGCGGAGGTGGAACCCGCAAGCCCAGGGAGACCGGGAAGGTCTTAACTCACTCGGGTCCATCTCCACAAGGACCTTCCACTCTTCCATTTTGTGGAGGTCGAGGGCGTAGAGGTCGCTGAGGGTGAACTGGCGGTCCCCCACCTCAAACATCCCCCCGTAGAGGTAGAGCACCCCGTGCTTCACGGCCAGCATGGCGTTTGAACGCGGGCAGGGCTCCACTGGAGGGCTGGGGGCTTCACTGCCCCCGTCATCATCGTCTTCTCCTTCCAACTCTGGTGGCTGCTCCGTGGACCTCCCTTGGGGAGCTGAGATCAGCTGCTTGACGATCATCACGGTGCCGTCTTCTGCCACCACCTCCTTGACCATCTCCACAGGTCCGGGCGGAGGCTGCCCTTCCGCCTCATCCCCTTCGCCACCAGCCTGACGGAGATCCCCTTTCGCTGCGCCCCGTCGCCTTCTCTTTTTCTCAGACTTCGACCCCTAGTGAGGGAGACAAGCATGGAATCCAAGCCGAGCACCAGAGATGTTCTCAAGGACTTCTGAGAACACCAACCACCACCGCTCTTCTTCTCAAGATGCTACAGTCACCCGCCTTGACTGCTTTTCAGGATTCTGGGAGTCCCCCAAAACCAAACTGTCAGCTTCCATTTCAAATTTGAACTGGCAACTCAATAAGAATATTTCTCTCCTCTGTTGACAAGCAAAGCTGAGTAACTTAACCAGGGCAGAAGTCTCCAAACTTAGCAATTTAAGACTACGCTGGCTGAGGAATTCTGGAAGTTGAAGTCCACAAGTCTTGAAGTTGCCAAGGTTGGAGACCCCTGAACTAGAGTGAGATGGAGAACAAGGGAACAGAGGGGAGGAAAGAATTTCACGCCGTGAGATTTTGCCACAAACCTTTAACTGTCCCAGAAACCACCGATTCTTTGCCAGATCGTAGAAGTAAATATCGTTGAAGAAGTCTCCTTCTAGACGTTCCTCTTCTTCTTCATCGTGGACCCCACCAAAGAGTAGAGAGCGGCTGCTGGGCCCCATGGCCACTGAGAAGCCCGATCTGGGTGTTGGCTTCACACCAGAAGGACTCACCCTGCTCCAAGTCCATTTCTCTGTCCAAGATAGAGAAGCGGAACAAGAAAAGCAGAAGGAGGAAGAAAAGCATAGGAAGAGGGAAACTTCTTAAAATTCAGGCTTTGGGGGACGTGAGCAGGGTCTATACTCGTGAGAGCCCTTCACTGCTAGGGGAGACACCCCCTCCCTCTGTCCGGTCCCCAGCATAGCAGAAGGTTCAGCCATGACACAAGGCCTGCACGTACCCGAGCTCTCAGCACTCAGGAGGAACATATCCGTATGAAGGGTCCCTTTGTCGACGTCTTTCTTAATTCGCTGCACAATGAAAGCAGTTGTATTATGGAATCGGGAGAAGCAGAACCAAGCCATCATCAAGGAATCATCCCCACAAATCTTGCTTATGAATCCTGCACAATCCTTCTAAGCCCTTGTTTTATGACTTCACCTATAAGAGCAAAGTGTCGGGATCTTTGACCCCAGGGACTTTCCCCAAACGTCCATATTTCTAAATGTAATCCAAGGGAAATTAGAACTTCCTCCTGCAAATATTTCCGCCGTTCCTGTCTGAGAAGTGGGGGTGGGAAAGAGGTCCTCCAGAGGTTGCTGAACTAAAATATCCAGCAGTACCTGCCAAGGTGAAGGAAGGTGTGAAGAAGCCCTTGGATCAACACCTGTTGCAGAAAAGGCCCTCCTATCGCTCCCTTTCAAATGCGCCCCAAACCACCGCGAACAACTTCTCTAGTCTTAAAAGACCAATGACTCATACCAACCCTACTAGCCAAAGGTGACCCTCACCTGCTTGGAGTAGCCTCCATAGACCACGAGGTGGCCCTCAGGTGTTGAAGCCAGATGGCATCCTGACCTCGGGGCTGGGGCGATCCCAGAAGGAGCCAGCTTGGACCAAGCAAAGGTGTCCAGGTTGAAAGCATGGGCATCGTTGTAGTAGATGTAGTCTCTAGTTGATCAAAAGCATCCAAGACAAGTGATAGCAGGCGCCCTTGAGTTGGCAACGGACCTCCGGCCGAGGAGGCGAAGAACCGCCTCCCACGATAGCATGAGCAACAAGGGCGCAGGCCTGGCCCTCCGACCTTCCACCGGTTGCAGACCTTCTGGTCTCCCACCCTTGTCCTAGGCAGCCCCACGTTCCAGATTACAAGACCTGTCCGTAGGTTGACTTCTATCACCTCTACCCAAACTTTCCACCTAGAGAAGCGCTCAAGTTAAGTCACCACAATAAACAAAGCGTAAGAACTCAGCGTTCGGAAAAAGGGCCGATAAAGATTGCCCTTAAACAAGTGACGCTCGGCTCCTTCCTTGAATGCAAGTGGGGGCTGAGCAGTTTTTTTTGGGGGGAAAAAAGGCTGCCCCCCGCTTGGAGTCGTCGTCATAACATCGGAATAGGCTCCTCCAGGGAAAGCCCGGAGGAGAAGGTAGCAGGGGGAAGGAGTCAAACCATCACCTCCATCTGCCTTGGGTCCCTTTGTGCGTGATGGGAGCATCTTCAGAGGAAGGACAGGAGGCGTCCCGGGCACAGTGGGGCAAAATCACCCCCCCCCCCCCAAAAAAAGAGGACAGTGGAGTAGACTCACCGGCTGCTTTCATGGAAGCCTCCAAAGACTATGAGTTGCCGCTTGCTGACGGCCATCCGGTGTCCACTCCGCCCAGAGGGCCCCCCTGAAGCTCTGAAATCAAAGAAGGGGGTTCAGCAGCCCCTCTGATTCCTTCGGTCGGTCCCGGCTGCTCCTCCAGCCCCCAGCTCCGGTCCCCTTCTGGTAGGGTATCCCTTGGACCTCCTCCCCCGTTCCTGTCCAAGTTGCTCCTCCAAAGGCCACAAAGGAACCACAACTTCTAGAAAGCAACCCTGGACATCCGGAGACCTGCGCGTGTCTCAGGGCTGCAGGGACTTTGCACCCAATTCCGACTGACCCTGCAGGCCTCTGGCAACCCCAGGGGTGGGGGGCACAAACAGCGGGTCCTTCCAGAATTCTCTTGACTTACTTGACTTGCTCCCAGGACCTGCTGGCCAAATGCAGGACCCAGAGGTCTTTGTAATGGTAGAACTGCTCCCCGTCCGGAGAAGCAAATTCCCCACCGAACAGCCAGAGTTGCCCGCCACCCTGAGCGACAACCACGGCCTGCCAGGAAAAGAGAGAGAGAGAGGGCAGCATATCTGTCCTTTTCGACGTGTAAAACCCAAGATTTCCTCTGCATCGTTCTGACCATGCTGTGTTGAACTACTCTGCTCATGATAGGTAGGTAGGGAAGAGGAAGGGAAGGAAGGAAGGGAAGGGAAGGGAAGGGAAGGGAAGGGAAGGGAAGGAAGGAAGGAAGGAAGGAAGGAAGGAAGGAAGGAAGGAAGGAAGGAAGGAAGGAAGGAAGGAAGGAAGGAAGGAAGGTGAGACAAGAGGGAAGGAAAGGAAGGGAGGGAGGGAGGGAGGAAAGAAAGGAAGGAAGGAAGGAAGGTACGTGAGACAAGAGGCAGGGAAGGAAGGAAGGAAGGTGAAACAAGAGGGAAGGAAAGGGAGGGAGGGAGGGAGGGAGGGAAGGAAGGAAGGAAG